GGAAGTAATTGTCAGCTGCAGTATGAAACTACCAAGTTCAGCCCAGTGCTGCTTACTTCTGCATTCCTTGTTCTATACCTGGGACACAAACATTACCAGGAATCCAAGGGTTTTACTGCTAGGAGAGCTTCTGCTGGCCTGCAGCAATCAAAGCAATAAATTTGAACTGCTCCTTGTGAGCTGTCTGCACCTCTGCAGTTGCTGTTACCCACCTGACCAGCACTGCCACACGTGCCTGTGGCCAGAGCCAGCTGGGTTTTATGGCTGTTGTTCTGTCTGCACTCTGAATCATGGCTTCTGTGAGTCAGCCTGTGACACTGGACAGGTCTGCTTTGAGAGTTTCATTCTGAAAGTGGAACCAGTTTATGGCACTGACACAGTAGTCATGGTGTCTGTTACTCCTTCTGAGTAATCTAATTTATTTATTTATCTTTTAATAAAAGATGTCTCTACCACATCAGTGCCTTATTCAATTTGTGTCAGGACACTGAGAACAGAACTCATCCAATCTGCTGTGCCCAAAGAGCTGGTGCTCTGTGCTGCTTTTACTTTGGTGTAACCTTTTCACCACATATTTGGAATTACTGATAAGACTGTGGTTTCAGGGGAATGTTCATCCATATTGCCCCAGATATACCAACAACTTAAAAGGTGGTACTGCACTTAGGTGAAAGAAAAACACCTCAGGGGCTGGAATTTTATGGAAACCTTTCGTGAAAGAGAACTTATACTTTTCCATTTGAAAACCTACTTTTCTGATCACGACTTATGTACTGGTTTTATTTCTAATGTTTCAGTCAAAATAATTTCCACATGGCTTCCTGCAGCTATTTTTGCACTGGCTGTTTACTAGCAGATTAGGTGAGAGTTGAAGCAAAAAGCATAATAAAGTGCTGTGAAACAACACACCCCTATGAATGTTTCCTCTCATATCCACCCCAACAGAACAAGTTGTGCTCGTTCTCCACCAAATTTATCAGAGCATCTTTTACTGGTGAAACCACCAGAATGGAAAAGTGCACTGGTATATTCATCTCTACAAATCATTAATTGTTCTAAATTTAATTCAGCAGTAGTTAAATGGTCAAAGCTGAATTTTTAACAATGCTTTTGTAATTATATTTTTGGAAATAGAATATTAAAATGCAAATTTAGGTATCAAGAGTATAGCACTATTTGGGGGTGAATCTCTGATTTTCTACAAAGAGAATAATAATTTAAAAAATCTCATTATGACATCGTTTCTCAGGTCTAATATTAAAATCATAAAACTTAAGAACTGTGTGAATTGTTAGCCAGTGTTGCTTGGGTAGTTCTGTAAAACTGAAAAGAGCTACATTAATTTACACCATCCAGAGATGTGGCTCCATATACACTTTCAAAGTGTATTTCTAAGACTTGATCCAATATAACAGGAAGACTGTTTTGGATTCAATTGGCACACTAGCAATTTTCATCTCACTGCTTTTTCCACCCTGTTTTGGGGACAAGGGATTTAAAGTGGCAGGAAGACACAGGTTATTTGTTGAAGGCAGATTATTGTAATTTGGCTCACACAAAATACACCCATGGCAGTAAAAACTAGCATATTTGTTAAAGCTAAATTCCCAAATCTCTGTATAATGAAACAGCAATCTGTGGTTATGAGCTTTTGGACAAATCTGAACCTGGACTGATGGCTTATAAGTCAAAGATCAGCTTGGGGCCAACACCTTCCTCTACCACAGTAAATATCAGGGGGGTATTTTCAAGAGGAACTTTTCCTCTCATCCTAAGAGCACAACAGCTCCTGGTGACCTCTGCCTCAAGGATGTTTTGTGGATACTTCACTCACATCTATTACCAGGTAATAGGCCTTGTTAGTCAGAGAACTATTTTTAAGGAATCTGAATTATGAAAAAAAAATTTAGCACCTATTTGACCATGCTACCCTGCTTTCTTTTTTCTCTTTGGCTTTCTAGAAGGGAAATGTATTTTGGAGACCAGGAGATAACAGACCAATGGCACAGGTCTTGCCTGTCAGGGAATATTGTACAGGCACATCTGTGATGTGCAAAGAGATATCACACTAGTGATAACTCAAACCTGCCAATAAAGAAAAATACCACTTTGGGCCCTAGAAGCAATCATTTTACATCATTGTATTAAAGTAAACCCTCCAAGGCAGCCATGAGCAATGCCAATGCTGATTCTGAAGCACAACTGACTGCAGGTAGGCTCATGGGCTGGCTCTCCTTGCCTGCTCTGTACCACTGCACATGGCAGCTCCAACACATCTGCATTTCATTTCACATCTTTTCCAATAAGAAGTCCTTAATAATTAACACAATAGAAATGGTTAGATCCAGATATTTGCTTTAAAAAGATACCTCTTCAGGTCTCAGAAAAACATATTAGCTGCACCAATCTTACCTTTCAGTTTTTTATATCTTGTAAACAGTCATGTAGGAGTGGTAACAACATTTGGTTCCTGCAAAGCACCACCCTTGTGAGAATGTGAAATCAAAGGAATAACAGCTCAGGCCTCACACATCTGGGTCAGGCAATAAATGTTTTATCTTAGTTTCAACAAGGAGGAGTCAGAAGTTCACTGATTTACTCAAGGTCACACAGGAAGCCTGACAGTGCTATGAGTCTCAGCTGTCCTTCTCACTATCTTCCTACCAGATAAGCATTGAGACATGCAGAGTTACAGCACTCAGAAAGAACTACCTATATAAAAGCCCATGAAATAACAATATCTGGTGAGATAGCCGCCAGCTAGGCACTCATACATTAGCAGTAAATCTAGTAAATCTTATTTTTTTAATGTGTTAGCTGAAGAATTTATAAGGCAAACACTGATGGCTAGGCAGAGCTTCTGAAAGGCTGGTAATGAGCACTGGTGAAAATCTAAGACCTTCTATGGGAACAGAAAGGTCTATTGCCCTAGAATTTACACTTAAAATTACATGGCTCTGAAAATGGAGAACTTTTCAATTTTTTAGGAAACCTTTCCTAACTAGGAGTGATGATTTAATTTCCTCTGCATGCAGGTGAATCAAAGGATTTTGTTATTGTGAGTTTCCAAAAAATCGCTGGCACACATTAAAAGAACACAGCTTTTCTTTCAAAATGTCATTAAGGAGTGACCATAGTAAAGACTAAGATGTGTTGATTTTTCTCAGTCATTTTGGAGCTGCAACAAAAACATGCAATTAAACAGCAGGTACCAATGGCACAGATGGGTGTGGACAGAAGAAGAGCCTGTATCTTGGGAACCTTCCTTCTTACCCTCTGCCAGCAGCAGCCCTATCACTATGGGATGTGGTGCAGAGAGTGGCTGCTGTCACAGTTTGCCATTGGTGCCTGGGGTTAGCATTGCTCCAGCCCCTCTGCCCTGACAGTGGGTTAGCATTGCTCCAGCCCCTCTGCCCTGACAGTGGGTTAGCATTGCTCCAGCTCCTCCTGCCCTGACATGGGTCAGCACTGCTCCAGCCCCTCTGCCCTGACATGGGTCAGCATTGCTCCAGCCCCTCCTGCCCTGACATGGGTCAGCATTGCTCCAGTCCCTCCTGCCCTGACATGGGTCAGCATTGCTCCAGCCCCTCTGCCCTGACAGTGGGTTAGCATTGCTCCAGCCCCTCCTGCCCTGACATGGGCCAGCATTGCTCCAGCCCCTCTGCCCTGACATGGGTCAGCATTGCTCCAGCCCCTCTGCCCTGACATGGGTCAGCACTGCTCCAGCCCCTCTGCCCTGACAGTGGGTTAGCATTGCTCCAGCCCCTCTACCCTGACATGGGCCAGCATTGCTCCAGCCCCTCTACCCTGACAGTGGGTTAGCATTGCTCCAGCCCCTCTACCCTGACAGTGGGTTAGCATTGCTCCAGCCCCTCTGCCCTGACAGTGGGTTAGCATTGCTCCAGCCCCTCTACCCTGACAGTGGGTTAGCATTGCTCCAGCCCCTCTATCCTGACATGGGTCAGCATTGCTCCAGCCCCTCTACCCTGACATGGGTCAGCATTGCTCCAGCCCCTCTACCCTGACAGTGGGTTACCACTGCTCCAGCCCCTCTACCCTGACATGGGCCAGCATTGCTCCAGCCCCTCTACCCTGACATGGGTTAGCATTGCTCCAGCCCCTCTACCCTGACATGGGTTAGCATTGCTCCAGCCCCTCTACACTGACATGGGTTAGCATTGCTCCAGTGTAGGAGCATCGGGGGTAGCACAGTCGGGACAGATGGAGACAAGAGATCTCTGCAGCCAGGTCAGGAACTTGTGGTTTATTGCAAAGGGCCTGGGTGCAGGGCCCTGCTGGGAGCTGCCAGCCATAGCTCAGAGCAGGCCTGAGAGAAGAGAGGGGTAGAGAGGATGAGAGCGCAAGAGAGGCAAGAGAGCAAAAGCGTAAGAGAGTAAAAGGGGTAAGAGAGTAGAAGGGGTAAGAAGCAAGAGGGCGAAGTTCCCATTACAATACAATAAATCATCTTCTGTGTTGAATATTCTGATTCTCACTAACCAATCTAGTACAATATACACATCCTATAGCATTTCCATACAGCCTATAAGAATCACTACATTCCCATACTGTGTTACATTTTAAACCCTAAAAACTCCTCTTTGGACCCCTTCTGCCAAGCTGGCAGGGTCTGCTCTGACCCTTGGGCCTGTCTGCAAGCAGAGGGTGTTGTTCCATCAAAAGGGGATTACCTTCAGTCAGCCACACCATTGTTTTCCCGTTGTTCAGTAACTGAGGTATCTCAAAGCTTGCTTTCATTTCAATCTCACTTATAGTTTCCATATTCTCAAAATCTTTTGCCAGGCCATCATATTTATAAGGCTTTCCTGTTTCATCTTCCCCAACACTCCAGCCCCTCTACCCTGACAGGGGGTTAGCATTTCTGCAGCCCCTCCTACCCTGACAATGGGTTAGCATTTCTGCATTTCCTACCTTGACAATGGGTGAGCATTTCTGCAGCCCCTCCTACCCTGACAATGGGTGAGCATTTGTGCATTTCCTACCTTGACGGCGTAGTTGTTGAGGGGGTCCTTGGCGTAGGAGGCAGGGTAGTACACGGCATCGCCCGCCTCGCAGCAGGGCTTGTCGCTGGTGAGCCGGAAATCCGACCAGCTGTCCACGCCGAAGCGCAGCTGGTCCTTCTGCCCCGCCATGAACAGATCCTCGCACTTCAGCGCCAGCTTCTTCAGCGAGTCTGCGTGCAGGCTGCGGATCTTGCCCACCACCTCCTCCCTGTTCTCGATGCCCCGGTAGAGCGCCTGTCTCTGCGGCTTCTGCACGCCCTGGCCCTGCCTGGCCTGCGGGAGGCGCCGCCCGCTCAGGGACTCCATGCTGGTGGAGCAGCGCTCCTTGATGCTGCCGGTGGCCAGGCTGGAAACGCTGCTCGTGGCCGAGGTGGCCGCCCTCAGCTTCTCTGAGGGCCTGTCCAAGGAATCTCCTGACTCATTGTCCAGGACCTTGAGCTCCAGGCTGACCGAGGAGCAGGCGCTGCTCGCTTCCCAGTTGGTGTCAATGTCATAGGTGGGGTTGGCCATGATGCACAGGTTGTTCTCCAGAGCCTGCTTCTGGAGGTCTCGGGGAGTTGGCTCTGTGTTCGCTCTCAAAATTGTTTTCTTTGGCAGTGGAGGTGGTGTTGGCTGCAAGTTGTTCACTGTCTCCTGGTCTGCCAGCCCTCCAAAGGCAATGGCATCATCCAAAGCTCCCTTGGGTTGCCTGGGCTGTTTTGGAGGGATCATAGCTGCTCTGGACTGCCCTGTGGAATAAGATAATAGTGAGAGAAGATTAAAGTACTTCATATGTGCTGTTCCTGTGCTTCTGATTGCACTCTGAAAAGAAGTTTAGGGCAAAAAACTCCCCAAAACCTGACTAGGACCTGCCCCCCCCCCAACATTTCAAAAACCCCTAGATACATAGATGAAAAGATGAACTAATTAGAAAGTAAATGACCAAATCAGCATCATATATATCTAATTACATCCAGCCAGTCTTGATTTGACCTTGGCATTTATATTGAAATCAGCTTCAGTGCTAGCAGAGTTGCCATTTTACATCCAGCAGACCAAGGACAAGAACTGCAAGCAAAACCAAGCCCCTCCATTTGACACTTTGGCCAAGTCCAGTTTCAGCAATTACACCCAGTGTCCTATAATTTCTTCTGCAGTCAACTGACTGTAATATTATTTCTTATTTTCTATTCAAATGTGTGAAAACCAAGGGTGGATAACAGTCCATGAAACAACTGGGAAATGCTATTACATGAAAATCCTATTTCAGAATGGAATCCAGAAACTGCCAGACACAGATAACAGTTTAGATACTCTGGAGGTCACATCAGGCAGTCAGGATTGCCCCAGCAGATTCACACAGTGAAATCAAGGAAGTCAAGCTAACTTTCACTCAAGTTGACAAGTGTGTTGCCATCAAGAGCAGGATCATCATTTGACAGAAGTAGTTTCTACCCTGCAATTAAAATTGTGCCCTCCCCCTGACTGTAACTTCTCTAATGCATTTCCCTTCCTAACTTGCCACAGGTACCTTTGCTGGCAATGTTACATTCAGAGATAACCAGACCTGGCTTTACTCAAGAGATCCTAAATGGCAAGTTACAAACACACAGGCTGGGATTTTCTAGTTTCAGACATTTGTGTGAATCCAGGGAAGATAAACTTCCTGTCATGTGTTGTGGATGGCTTTAATCAAGGACATTTATGTTTCATAAGTGCCAGAGTCCTTGGAAATGCAGAATAAATAAATGACAATAATATAATGGAGAATAAAAACTAATAAACACAAAAATACAAAAGACCAGCTCACTGCTCTGGGACAATTAAACTGTTGTTACTCATATCAAGATGAGATCCTTCCAATCAACTGCTATTTTCAGAGAAATTATTTTATAAGCTTTCTACTTCTCCTGGGAGGTTCACTGACTGTCATGGTAAGGTAGGAAGCCAACTCTGACAGTTGAAAACAGCAGACCTGAAATGGATGTTCTGAATAACTGCAGCTGAGCATCTTCTCTAGTAAGGGAACAGACACTATAACTATTTGACTATTTACAATGTGCTGAATCATAAAATCATTTTGGCTGAAAAGTCCTTTAAGATCAGAGTCCAGCTGTTAACCTAACACTGCCAAGCCCACAAAATCCTTGTAAAGAGAGGACTAAACTGGAAGACTGGGGGGATCTAAGATTCAGATCTGAATTACATTACTTCAACCCATAATTAATAATTAATGAATCTGCAGTTTGCAAAAAGAAATATTGGCTTCCTCTGCATGCTAAGAGAGGTTGTTACAGTTTTTATGAACACTACAGAACCCAAAATCCACATGGCCAGGATGTACCAAACCCTGCAGTGCTGGGATAGAATGCTGAAATACATCTCCTAATTTCAGAAAATCAGAGAGGATCATATTTCTATATGTATCCACAAACAAAACAGCCTCACACCCTGCTTTCTTAACAATTGTTCTCTTGTCAGTCACTCCAAGGAGACAGCATCCCAAATGAAAGTTCTATCCCCATCTTTTGTTTAAGCTCCAGAAAGCCTCAGAAGAGCCTTACGGATTTAATGATAAGTCTGGCTATTCCAATGTTTAAAAAAACAAGTTTTGAGCAGGAAATTCGATCAGTTTTGTACATACCTGATATTCAGGGAAGACTGCAAATCATTGTAAAGGTTGCTGAAAGAAATGTAACTCTTGGAGGGCTGGGGGGACCCTACTGCTCCTTTGATTTGCAGTGAGTGTTTGCTGTGCACAGCATTGAATGCAGCTGCCAGCTGGGCACTACAGGAGCTCTGTCCTGAAGTTCCTTTTGCAGAGGTGAAGTGTGGTATGGGTCCAAGTCAGAAGTAGAATTGATGTCTGTGTGCCAGACACACATCCAGATGCCTTTTGCTTAATCCTGAGACAAGTTCATTTCTACTTGATACCCAATTCTCTTACTCATGCAAACATGTGTCCCCTTCCACAGCTGCTCAGTCTTACAAAATCTGTGACCTATGTACTTCTCCCCAGCAACACTCTGTGCTAAAGATCATTTGCCTGTTTTCTCCTCCTCAGCCTGCTCCCTACTCTGCTGGGACAGCCTGGCTGCTGGGTTTTACAGACACTGCTCAGGAGGCACTTTGCTAAGGGGCCTTGCTTTGGGACTTGCTAACCCAAGGATGCACAGCTGCTAGAGGGAAACAGGGCCAGATGCACATCCTGAGCAGCAGCAGCAGCTCTCTCCAGGAAAGGTAAGATTTATAAGAGTGTTACTGCTCCATTCTCTTGTTTTCTGTCTGCTTTAATGACTCTGTCCTCCAAAAGTCACTCACACAGAGGTGAGAGTTGGGATTGCAACCAGGGCTGCTTTTGCACAGCTACTGGCATTGTGACATCCAAACAGAATTGGAGAAGGTTTTCATAACCAGAAGTTGTTTTTTCAGATGTCTGGAGGGGGTGGCAGGTTCCAGAGAACTGAATGTACAAGTCATTCTGTAGTTACTGTTTCAAGTAGTCTCAGCTGAGAAAAAATGAGTTTGTATAACATGCTATGTTACAGTGTGGTTTCTTCCCACAAGAACAAGTTTTCCATATTGAAATCTAACCATCTGTATTATCCAGTTGAAAAGTTTCCTGTCTGCACTGTTTCTATGCTAAGTTCCAGCACTGTACATTTCTTTCATAGCTCTTGGGCCAGTCTCCAGCTCAGCTTTCCCCAAGCATGGCAGGAAACTACAGGGCCAATTTTTATAAAATCATTGCCCAGCAAGAAAAAGATTCTCTTAAATGTTGTCCCTGTCAAAGGCACAAGAATGTCCTTTTGCATAGAAATACCAGCAGAGCATTAATTTCTTTTTCTTGCCTATCCTTTCCTTCTCCCCTTGCATGTTTAAACTCATCATTGCCTTACCTACTGCACAGACTCTCCAACACTGCAAGTTCAGCCTGAGCCACACTCTTGGGAGGCAAAATGAAAAGGAAGAATAGGGACAATATTAGGCTACCACTTTGAGAGATCTTTGAAGTGGATTCCAGACTGCTCAATGAAAGAAAAAAAATTTAACTCTTTACAGACAGCAGATTTCTAGAGAGCTTTAAATAATTCTACAGTTCAATAAGATCTTCCATTATAGAATCTCACTACACTATTTAAATATTAATGCTTAAGTCTCCAGACACCATGCAGAGTTCTGAAACTCTGAAAGACAACTGAGAAAGGCATTTAAGTTTAATTTTTCTGGGTAACTAATTTATCATCAGACTTTGCATTGCAGCCTATTTATGCTAGCTGCTGAAACTATCAAATCTGACATCACTCCTTAATAAACACTTATCCTGGCTGATAAAAATAACCAAACCATGAAACAAACCCACAAATGCATCAAGTACCTTCCAACCACAGCAAAAGCTACCAGCATGCTTCACAGCCCCAGCTCCAATAAATGCTGTGCATGTACTGAAATGCATGCTATGAAACTGCCCTGTACAGATTTGCACTAAATCCTCCACTGTTTACACATGTAGTGTTCATTGAATAGTGAAAATCTTACCAGAATGATTAGAGATGTTAGAGAAAGGGAAGGTAACATTTGTTAAGTACCATGGTGGTGCATGTGCAGTGTCTCAGCAGTAACCTGAGACTGGCACAGGTCTCCTGGGAGATGCAATAAGAGAAGTCTCACTTTGTTTGCTTGGTGACTTGTCAGGTCTTGCTGCCCACCCTCCATTGCACCACCTTAGACATTACCTGTGCTAATTATGTACTACACAAAATGCACCAGACTGATGCTATAATCACTGTCTGTCACTGAGCTGTCTGTTTTCATCAACAATGATCTCATTACTTTATTTACAGCCTGGCTAAAGCACTGTTTTCTGCCCTGGCCCAACTGACTGACTGAGGCAATGCCCCATGGCAGACACTGTGATTGGGATTTTTTTCCAGTGTCAGCAGTCACAAAGCCTAGAAACTCAGCCTCCTTTTTTCCCCATTTCTTTAGGTGTAAAGAAAAAACCAGCTGATAATGAAATAAGCTATTTTTTTTCAGTGGCAGAAATAACCTATTCTTTTTTTCAATGGCAGAAAAACTATCCTGAGTATACTGAGAATACCTTAATCTACTTACAGCCATGCAAATTCAATCAAGTCAATTTCCCCAACAAATTCAGACAAAGACAGAACAATTTAAAGATTTGTAAAGGAAAGGCTTTGTCTTCCTTATCATCAGTTACAGGGCTTACCTGAATTAACTTCTGTAACAATAAAAGAACCCCTTACAAAAGAAACATCCAGGCCCTCCCTTACACATCTGAACATTTGTTTCTTCATCTTGATTCAAGTGGCAGCCTCTGGATTTTGTTAAATTGTTGATACCACAGGTCCCCCTATTGCAGTTCTGCTCACCACATGAGCAGCCCCACCATGATCAAGCCAGACTCTTACTTTGATAAGCTGAATGGATTCAGATTCTGAATTAGTCCCTATGAAGTGCTTGCCACAATACCAGGCACTTGCAAAGCTTTTCTTTAGAGCCTGTGCAATTTTTAAAACATTCTTCTTAAACTGTGGGCACCAGAGCCTGACTGTGACCATGGCAGTCAAGAACCTCTCTCCCCCTACTCAAGTTTCCTCTCATTTCCACCAGGCAGGAACACACCTTATCCTATCATCATAAAAGCCCCAACTCTTTTATATTGTACCTGACTCCTGGAGGACAATCCTCTGCTTTGTAAGGTTTGTCTCTTGGGAGGCCAAACCAAATGTTTGAGGGCAGTACCTGACATAAACTATTACCTGACTGCAGGTGAAAATTCACCAAGGCTTGCAATTATTTCTGTTCATGACACTCCATGAGTGTTAAGGCATCATGACATGTCAGAATTGAAGATTAGCCTTTTATCAAAGTAGAGACATATTATCTGCTTTTTAATAAAAACCACAGAATATGTATCAGATCAGTTTAAAAGGTGAACCTTGTGCATTATGCTGCAAAATGAGATGTGCACGTGATGCATTTTACAAACTCCAAACTGTAGCAGGCAGCTCTAACTGCAGCTGAGGCAAGAGTCAAATGTGATGTAACTTCTCATTTTATCCTTTCTTCCAGTTTCACATACCAGTATTTGTTAATTCTATAAAAGATAAGGTTTTGCTGCCCAGGTTGATGCAAGATGTGAAAACAAGTAGGGATTATTCTCTGTCCCTACCTAGAAATCTCTCTGTTGCCATCTGAACTAGAAAGTGAGGCTGCCTGAATAAAGCAGGAAGCCTTTGAAGGGCAGCCAGGGAGCTCAGTGCCATTTAGGGAAGCATTTCTCCTAGCAGCAGGCAGCTCTCCCAGCCAGAGCCAGGCAAGCCCCAGAGATAACTTAACCCTTTCACACCAAAGGGAACTTTGGAGACAGCACAGCTCCAAGTGAACCCACAGTGAGGAGAAGGTTTTGAATAAATTGCTAAGGGGCTGAATTTTTTATGGTTTTAAAAAGAAACATTCAAACTTAGGAATAGCACTAATACAGGCCAGGACTGATGGAAGGGATCTCTTGGGACAGGCAGGCAGGGTCAGCTGGAGCAGGCTGTCCAGATCCTCTCCAGTTGGGCTGGAACTTGTGAATATCTCTACAGACAGAGATTCCAAAACTCCTCTGAGCAAGCTGTTCCAGTGTTGATGGTATTTTGCTGCACAGGATAAACATGGTACAGGCAGTTCTGATGCAGCCAGACCTCAACTGCCAGGATTCTGTCTGCAACGTCCCTGTCTTCTAAATACAGCAAATATAGATACAGATACATACCTCACTAAATTGAAAATAATTCATTAGCTCTATGAGTAATTCACCATAAAGATTCAGATTTTAGTTCTCCTTCTTAGAGGAGGAATTTCTTGGTAGATGTAAGCATCACACTTGGACAGGATATTTTTCCTCCTTATGCTTTATAAACAATACCTAATTAATGTTTTAATAGCAGAATGCACTAATAAGCTTACCACTAATTCACATTTAAGCAAAAAAATGCAACACTTTCACTGAATGTCTAAGGAATGTGTGTACCTGAGGGTTTAAAGTTCAGTCCTTGATCCCTGAAACCTATGTGGACATGCCAAACTCTCTGTACTCATGAGCCATCTCAACACAATCACTTTACTCTTGGCCAAATGCTTAATGAGTTGCTGTGTACAGGATTGAGATGTTCAAAAAACATGTATTGGGATATCCTGGAATGTAAATAAATTAGATATTTTGTTGTTCTAGAAAACCTGGCTCTAGGTATCCCTGAATTCACAGTACTGCAAATCAAAATGCTTTAGAAAATCAGGCTGATGATATTGATACTGTGCACTGGGAGATGCTGCTTTATCTTGCTCCCTTATCTTCCAGAGAAGCCCTGCATCCATGGATCTCTTAAGGAGTCAGGAATTCAGTAATCTTTGAGTAGCACCTTTAGGACAGTTGTATCTCATTGGGAAGGACCAAAACTGAACTCTCTGGCCAGGATAAGAACAGTTTCAGCCAACAAGAAATGGGTACAAATATTCTAGCAGTTATTGATGCTCTAAAATAAAAAGCCCTATCTTTTGATGAAGTTTAGAAAAATACTGAATTTTATTTATTCCTTCTAAAGAAACTAGGTAACTTGCTCTGAATTTTAAACCTCTTTGACAAAAATTCCTCCAAAGAGATAAAACAATGTTGATTTTAAAAATCATCTGAGATATTCATCACTAAGGGCAATTAAAAGACTGTTTTAAATTACAGGAAAACAAACCTTTGAGTTTGTTGAATCTTCACTTTCTTGGCTATGAATGAGACTATATATCTTTATTTTCTGTAAATCAATATTAAGCAGTTAAAAGCCACGCTTATGAAGATGTATGGAGCTGTTTAGAAGAAAAGGCTCTACACACACTGAAAAGGTCTCCAAAATCAGATCCAGTTCCTGTCCACTCACCTAAGTTGCTGTAGGTAGCACTGCAGGTACTCAGATCAGGAGAATTTGGAGCTTCTTCCTTCTCCTCCTGGCCCAGGGCCCCGCGGGAGGCTGAGGCCGGGATGACGGAGGCGCTGCCCCCATTGTCCTGCTTCACAAACACCGCCCTGGGGACACGCGGGGACAGCTCCTCCAGGGCCGGCTCCTCGGGCACCTGACTGAAACAGACACAACAAGGTCACCTGCACAGCCAGCCTGGGCACACCTGGGGACGGGGTCAGCTGGGAAAGAAGGAAGTGCTTGCACCCTCCTTTTCTAAGAACAATCATCTACAGTTTTTATTTCCCTTAGTGAGAAGGAACAACTCGTGATTGAAATAGTAACATGGTAGTTACTATTATCATGATTATAATAATATATAGCATATAAGAGTTCATGCCTTTGATATAAAAGCTACAATAAAATGTTTTACAGCTTGACTACATCAATATCCACGCTCATAAATATGCAGGCATGATTCTGGGTAAAGTGAGTGGGACTCAGGACAGCAGCAGAGTTTAGGGTGCTTTTTGCCAGTGCAAGCAATTGTGCCTCAAACAAATATAACAGGGTATAGGAAGTAGGATTAAGTCCCAATAAATGCATAAAACTTCTATGATACATTTTCATATCCTGGTAGGATTTTGGGAACTGACACTCTGGGAAGCAGACCTCATTTAGGCCAATAATCTCTTTCCCATATAAAATTCTCCACCATTAAAATCTATCTGCATTAGGCCGACTGCAGAAGGCACTGAAGACATTCCTCTGTGCCTGCTCTTAGCTATGAAGTTTTAATCACACTGTGATGACTTACAGCACAGAACTCTGAAAATTGTGCATTTACTTGGTTTCCATGGATATATTTATTGCAGTATAATTTAAAAATGATGCATTATATGCATGAAAAAAAGCCGAGACTTAATAAAACCCCACAATCATACTGAAAATATAACAGCAATTATCAATAATATGGCACAAAAACATGTCAGAGCAAAAAAATTTCCATGCCTTTATGTTCTCTCACTTGCAGGAACAAATACTCATTACAGGCCAAATCTCAAGAGCATATGTGCTGTTTGCTAGCTCTCACTACTACAGCCTGATCAAATACAACAGAAAGAATTTGAACTACTTGTGACTTCCATTAGGGACAGGAGTAACACACTTCCATCAAAAAACAGTCAGCACATCATGTATCTGTAGAGATACTTATTTTTTGTGATAAGGATTTTGAACTTTCACAAAGAGTTAACATAATAAATTATAGGTATTTGTCTATGGCAAAGCCAACCCCCTGAAAATCCTGGGACACAATCTCGTAGCAATTCCCAGTAAAAGGTTCCAACATGCCAATGCTCTGCATGACAAGACCCAGGACAGTGCAGTGAGCACATGCTGTTTCTGCTCAGACTCATGAATTTTAACTGCAGGCTGACACAAACCAAACTCATTAGAACTTGTTAGTAAAAGAGAAAAAATGGCATCAGTTCAAAAAGATGTAATCTTTAATCAGCGTACCAGTTTTTGTTCCATTTTAGTACCATGCATAGGAATGGTGTGAAGAACATTCCATGTGCCATAAATATATCCACATTAAAGAGTTAACCTCAGTAATTTCAGAGTAAAGCAGACATAAAATTAAAGCAGTAACAAGGCTCTCAGGATAATTGAACTGAAGGCTTGTAGTTGCTGTAAATAATATACATACCTGCATTCCTCAACAGGAATGTTTTCTTTAAGAAGAAATAGGTTCTAATAGCTTCACAGTTCTGTCATTGCCACAAACCAGGAATTATCACATCTCAAAGTAACTTTTTAGTATCACTTGGTGAGGTAAGAACATACTCATTCTCCAAACCAGACACATGCATGCACATACACTAAACCTAAGCTCAGAAGCATTTTGCCAAAGTAAACCAACAGCTAGAAAGGAAGAAAGAAAAAAAAAATACCAACTCACCCACTGTACTCACTCACACAATTCCCCATTAAAGGAAATTCTTTCAGGGCCTTCTTGAGTCTTTTAATCATGTCTTGAAACTCTGGCGAGCCATTGATTCCACAGTGTTCTGGTGTGCTACAAGTTGTGCAAGCTGTGAGCAAGAGGGCTGAACTCTGCACAGAGTGATACACCTACTGCACCTTAGTGTTTACCTTCGGGGGCTGGGCCCTGCCAGCAGCCAGCACAGCAGCCCTGCCTCCTTAACTCCTGCCCTGCCTCCCTGCAGGGCCAGGGCACGGCTGCATCACTGCTCTGGAATGGGCTATGGCCTCACTCATCCCACTGCTGCGGGAAAAGCACAGCTCAGCTCTCATCGGGAGCTTCAGGAAGTGACACTAACCTATTGTTAAGAGTTAGAGAGTATCTCAAATCTGTACTCAGGGCCTCAAAAGAATACATTTTAAACCATAGCAATTAGAGGTCAGGTCATGAAATCCATGGGGAAATGCTTCCCAGTATCTTAACGCTGAGAACAGAGAGATCAAGCTTGTGTACACAGTGCAAATGTCAGCCCTTCAGTGGTGCTGGCAGGACACAGGAGGAGTAAAAAAGGAACCATCCTCACTCAGGGAGCTCCAAGAACCACATCCCCAGCTGCTTCATGAACTAAACAGTTAAAATGGCTGGTTTTTCGAGGAAAGAGGAGGAGCTGACAAACAGGCAGTTCTCTCAGATTAGAACCATTAAAACCTGATTTTGTGTAACTTTCTATCTGCTTACTGGTAACAAGTCATACTTACAGCTATCTCCTTATTTGGGATATTTATAGATATTTTGCCAGGATGGATTCTTTGATGCCTTGCATAAGAGCACATATTTAGCATCTAGCACAGTGGGCGCAGCCTCCTCTGTCCAAGTTTTTTTCTCTTCCCTTTTTTATTTCAAAAACAAACTTCATAGAAATTAATTATCTTAGAGAACTCTGCTCCTCAGGCACAAGTGGCTGAAGCTAAACAACTACTCAGTTAGTGGAGGAAGCAGCCCTCTGCATGCAGAGAATGTGTCTGTTTTCCTAAGTAGCTGAGATTATGTGAAGCAAAAAAACTTGCCATAAAAATGACTGTCCATCAGACAACACCCCACTGAATTCATATACTTGTCATTCACGTGTGCACAGGCTCAAAACTGTCTTAAAAGTGTTATTTTTCTGCAGGGACAAATGCCTCTCTTTCCTTCAGGCTCTCCTCCTGCATGGTTTTTGGAGGATAGCCAGAAGATGATGTGGTCTAACTCGCCTCAGTCTTTTAGGAACAGCAGGATGCAGCAAGCTGCCTGTGTAGGGTGCTAATTTTGGTGAGGACACTGGAATCACAGCTCTTGTGTGACCTGTGTTCTCCTCTATTCAGAGCACGCCTGCTCAATTAGGGAGATTAATAAACAGCAACGAATACGAGGGAGATAAAGTGGAAGGCTCATAAGAAGTGATTGTGAGAGTGTATCCTGAAATAGGGTCAGATCCAGAGGTAAAGGTGAGGGAACACAGTTCTGTGCAAGACAGCACATAAATCCCAGTGGCAGGAATAAGTGACAGAGACAGAGAAAAGCAGATGTGGCCTTGGGGCCAGCACAGACTCTGATCTCCTCCCCGAGTGGACATCACCACAGCAGCCATCAATGGCAGCTGCACAGCTGGAGATGACAAGGAAGAGGACTTTGCTTTGCACACACACAAACCCAACTGTGTAATTTGTAGCTATATTAGTTTCAAAGAGAACGCTTTGAGATGCCCTCAGGCCCTGCACTTTTAAGCTAATAAAGCAAACATAAAGCCTAAACTGACTGAATAATGCTTGAGGAAAAATGCAGAGGTGAATGGCTGGAGGGAGGTCAGAGGCCACCTTGCCCAGGAACTTCTCCTCAGAACACTGCCCACTCCACTCCTGCAGAGCCCTGGGCAGAGACAGGCGGTGCCCAGGTCTCAGTCACAGGGCACTGTGCATACAGAAAACATTCCAGCATTCCAGTGGCTCCTGCAGCTCAGTCCCTCCTCACCACCACCAACTGTCACTGAAGAGGAAAGTGAAACAAACTTCTCAAATGACAACCTGAAACTATTAAGCCATGAAGTTCATTCCTAATTCTGATTATTGAGAAGCTGGCTTAGTCCTGAAGCTTGAGAATTTTTTTTTTTAGATCTCGTATAATGCGATGTTTGCACGGATAAAGGGAGTACACTTGATAATCCAGTAAAGACATTCTGCTAAGCTCTTTAGTGTCACTGAAACTTAATGGTAATGACTTTCACAGATTAACTGTGCATTATAAAGAAGATATTTTTTTTTATCCATTTTAGGTTCTCAGTCTTTCCATTTTACAGACTGTAGTAGAGGAGTTAAGAACAATAATACATGATCTACCATTTCCTAATCTAAATTTATAAAATAATCAATGGTAAAGTCCCTTCTACTTGGATCTTTAACAGTTCTTGGTGTTTACAAGTTCTCACATAAAACCAAACTTATGATGTTACCAAACTTATTGCTTAATGCACATGCAGAATTTCCAATTCTGTTAGAATTGGAAAATGTTCTAAAGGAAAACCTCGTAAGTTTTTAATAGATGAAATGGTAGAAGAAAGCTAGTTAATACTTTTAAAAGCACTGCTAAGCACTGCTGAGTAAGGTAGATAAAGCTTGCTGACACCAAGATAAGAAAAGCCCTAACATGGATTTGACAAGAAGGAAGAGATGATCCACCTTAATTTTTCAGGGAGAATTTCTCCCATTTCAGTAGACTTGCTCAAGCAAGGAATTTCTTTTCATCTATAACATCCTTGAAAATGCTCATCAATTTACTTGGGCTGTACCTAAACAGTTCTGGGTTCATGTGAGACCCTCACCCTAAGAGTTATACCAGAAGCCCGTCAAACAGGGAAGGACTTTGTTTTAAACAGAGCCCTACTGTGATTTCACAGATTTTCTTATCTTCCCAAGCAGTTTCTGAAGCAGCTGTGGAATCTGCAGGACTGGATCAGACACAATGTGAAAGTGGAATGTGGCAGTGGTGGTTATTCCTGCCTGTCTCTGGATGAAATCCTGATCTTAATGTATGGCTACATTGTTGTAGAACAGTGATTCCCATTGTTTCCAGTGAGTGATCTGTCACAACACTCATATTCCTCTATACAGAGCTCAGATCTATCAGTTATGAGATCAAATCCCTTTGCAATAATTAACACAATCTTAGATTGGTGATCACAAACTTAGCTATGAAGAAATGCTTCCTTATCTGAACCAGAACAAAATCAATATACAGACCTCACTACCTGAAGGAAGTATTTCAGGAAAAACAGAGTTTTATCTTCACTTCATCCAAGGCTGGCCCAAAGATCCCATAAAGGAAAGTTATGGCTGACTTGCAGCTGTGAAAGGGAACTCCTGAGTTTAGCCTGTAACTGAAATGGAGATGGCTGTGCCCAGCTCAGATTAGTTCAGCTCTGATGTGCTTTATGAAGACAGCCAAGGCAGCAGCAGCACTGGGCTGCACTTTGCTTTGAGGAAATGTCTCAATCTAACAAGTTGCTGCTGGGTATGAGCAGTGATGTCTCAATGAAGCAGAGAAGTCTTTACCTTGTGAAACTCCAATAGGAACACTCTGATCCATAAGATAACAAAGCCTTTGAAGGATCTTTCTATTCAGCCTGTGATGAGTGGATTGCAGCTGTGCTGTCCCACCTTCATCAATTACAGTGACTCAGGCCAGAAATACCATGGTATCTTTTGGTCAGTTTTAGGTTTTGCACCTGAGAACAACTGCTGGCTCATGAACTAAAGGTGTTCTCACGTTTTAACTAATGATAAAAATGACATGACTGCTGATTTTTTAGCAAAAATTATCTATCTACAAATTTCCAGTATATTTAATATATCATTATTTGCCAGCTCCTTTTGAACCAGCATATTTGCATCCTGCCATCAAACAGAAACAACCACACTGACAAATCAAAACCAAGTTCCTTTGTATGAGAGATCATTTTCAGGTTTCTGAAAAACTGATAGTTTTGCAAGTGCTGTTCAAAGGGAAGACTGACCTTTCTAGTGATAACTTGAAATACCTTCAGCTGTTTTGTAGTTGTGTTATCAATCTTTAGCAGCTCTGTAATCCATTGCAAAGTAAGGAAATACTGGATCTTCATTAAATTTGCTTTTGAGACCCCCCAGTAATCTGACATTTTTAAAGCTTATCTTATTTTCCAGGGCATCAGTTTGTTTTTTCAGAGAGCTTGCTGTTCTTGGCGTTCTGAGTTAGGGAAGTGTCCTGTTCACTGATGGCTATCTTCAGGTCATCCATTCTCCTCTAAGCCTCTGCAGGCTTAACTGAACATTCTAAACATCTTTTTCATGCACATATTTTAGCCTGAATTACAGCTAACCTTGTACTAATACCTGGAGGGTTAACACAAAACAAGCAAAGCTTCTCATGGGTTATGCCTCCTGTTTGAGCAAAAATGGCATTTAGAAATCCTGATTCTCACCCACCAGGATATTGAAAACGAAAGCCAAACCCCTTAAACAACAATAAAACCCTTCATTATGTGGCATTATAAGGCTTCACTTGGTCTCATTAACAACATTAAAAAGTATTAAAAAACCCTAAATAACTCAAGGCATCAAGAATATAAGAACTGAAGCATAAAGCTACCCACTGCCCAGTGCTCCCACAACTCAGCACCAAAGAAAGTGTACTTTCTTTGAAATTTGTAGAAACCAGGGAACAATATTGTCAGAAAGAAGAAATTCCAGTTCTAACATTTGGGAAATTCCAGTTTTCACTGGGGAAAATTCTGAGATATGATTTTGACCAACATCCTTGTGACTTGAAGAAAACTGAAGAGTCAACATGCTTTTTGGAATGAGTGAATGAGAGATCAGTGAGCCACTGCCTCCAAAAGGAAGGGCAGAAGGAGAACAGGACACATCCCAACAGCACCATCTCCAGGGCAGTGCAAGGATCCCTGGCAGGCTGCTCCTCTCACCAGCCACAGAGGCAGCTGCTGCCTCCTGCCCATCCCCTGCACATCAGCCAGCTGCTGTGCCTGAGCAGTGACTGCCAAGCTCCTTCTCTCCTGGATCTCTGCCCTGGTTCACCAAAGCACAGGAGCAGGGCACTGAGAGCTGGGAGCCAGGCAAGCTCCTGATGGCACTGGAACCAAAATCAACCTCACTTTCCCTAGCTTGCCCCAGAGACAGGAGAGGGAAACCAGATTTCTGTAAAGGAACAAACTCCTGCAATCCTTTAACTTGCCCTCTAAAGGCAGCTACTTCTCACCAATTCATTTAGGGCAAATCTAGAGACTGCACTATTCTGGCACTTGTCTTGTATGGAGGAAGAAAACAAGTGATTTTGCTTTAGGACAAGTGGCAGTCAGTCTATGGTAAGCTGTAACTATGCTCACACAGAGATTTCTATTAGGTTAAAACTGTTTTTAGCTAAAAAACATTGCAGTTTTCTTGTACAGAATATGGAGAAAGAAAACCAAAATCACTGCCATGATACATGTTCTGGGGCTCACACTTCACAAAATTTTTGATTTCCTCCCATTAGGTTGTTGTTATAATGAAATAAATAATTCAAGTTTGAGGCTACTTTGGAATTGGTTTGTGTAATAACACTGGAAGACAAATTCTAACACATCCACAGCTGTGGTCCAGCACTCAGGGAATTCTACTCTGCCCACATGACTGACTGCAACTGATGTGACCAGCTCTTGCTGGATCTAATACTGTGCCAGGGGACAAAGTACAGTCACTGCTAAGGCCTTGCAAGACAGACATAACACTATTTTGTAAGTACCCTAATTCTGTTACTACCTTTTTACAAGGTTTATTTTGAGAGTGCTGCAGTGATGCTGCAGTGTGGTTAATTAGCATCTGTTGAATTCTTGGGCATGTGAGGTAAGGTTAGCACAACACCTTCCATGAGTCACAGATCTTTTCATTTCTATTGTACTTCTCAATAGTTGCCTTCTATTTCTGCTGAGAAATTCTCAAGTTTCCCATAACACAGAAGCACTTTCTTAAAGCAGAAATTCAAGAGAATGGATCTGATCCAATGGAACATGACTATTGTGACACATGAGTGAGCCTGCAAGACAAACTCTAAATATCAGGTACTGCTTCTAGTAAATGCTTTACATCTTTTCTGCTATCTAACATAGCAGAAAGATTTTAAAATACTCTTTAAGTTACCTAAAATAAATATACTTTGAAAAAGTGGCGTTAATGTAATAAAACTCCTTAGTGTCTCCCTTTTCAGCAGCATATACAGGACAGCTCTCAACAGAGTAAGTGACTAAAACAGCTGAGTAGTACCTGGGGATTTTCTTGGGAGCCTGAGGTGGTGAGGAATGGCTGGCTGCGTTTTGTTCTGAGCTCTCTGGAGGCTTTTCCTGTGTTTCCCCCTTGTCCTTGGCCAGTGCCTCTGCGATGGCAGAGTCCAGCCCAGGCTGGGCTGGGAGCTCAGCCCGGGGCTCGGTCTGTGCAGGGTCACACCTGTACATGAACACGATCGAGGGCTTCTCGCTCGACTCCGACTTGGCCTCGCTGAACCAGTGGTGCCGCTGCACTGGGGGCGGGGGGAGCATGTGGATCACAGTTCCATCCAGACCCACCAGCTTCCCCTTCTCCCTGTCCTTCTCCCTGTCCTCCTCATCGTCAGCTTTCCTGCGGCGAAAGAAACTCTTGAACGATATCCAGCGCTTGGGTTTGGCATCGGGGCGCCGCCCCTCCGAGTGCAGGATGGACTCGGCTTCTGTGGACCTGGTGGGGCTGTTGGGCTTGGCCCAGTTGCTGAAATGCCTCTGCAGCAAGTTACTGGCATGGTAGGGAGAGGAGGTGGAGCGTGGAGGGGGGAATGGCGGGGCCTGCTCTGCCTGGGGACTGATGGCCCCCGGGGTGGCTCGCGCTGCCTTTGGAGAGGGAGTGGCAGCTGGCTGTGACAGAGGATCCTTCTGCATTTTAATGGCAGTGCTTTCCATCTTGGAGGACTCCACTTCAGGCTGCGATGTAAACAGAGATTTGGGTCGTACCAGGGTGTTTTTACTAGCATCTCCCTCAGGGGGTAAGGAATACAGTTCCTCTACACTACAGGACTTGGGAGCAGACTGAGGTGTTTCTGGAGGAGACTGTGGAGGCTGGATAGAAGCCACAATCTGTGAGAGCACCGTGCTCGCGTTCTCTCTGCCACCCCCGCTGCCGACAGAACCGTCTGGGGTCACATCTGCCTTTGCTGCAGGCTCTTGCATTGCCTTTTGAACTCTGGGGGGGGAGCTGTGGTCAGCACTGTGACTTCTCTGTGGGGATATCTGGCTTTTACTGAGGCAGCTGTTGAACTCTTGGACCTTCTGAGCCACAGAGCCCAGCCTGCACTCAGAGCTACTGGCTGCCCCCTTTGCTTGGGGCAACTCAGTGGATTTGCTGCCTATGGCTTCGGTGCCTTTACTTTCAGTTTCTATTTCTTCATAGGTATGGCTTATCACACTTGTAGTTTTATCTTTGACAGACAGCTCCCCAGTTGTCCCTAGAAAACTTTTATAGATTGCCAAGTTATCATAGGCATTTGGATTGATTACAATGGGAACTTTAATAGCATTTTTGGAACTCCTAGCGTAAGTGGGCTCATCATGAATGATAATAGGGAAAGGTGGCATGCCAGCATTGTTGTAACTGTTGAATTTTATCTCAGACAAATTGGGAGACTTCACTGGGATGGTTTTTGAAGAAATGTTTGTAGCTGTAGGTGAAGTAGGAGCTGACTTGTGGCTTGTCTTCCTGGGAGGAACGGAAGGTCCTGAGCTGTTTCCAATCAGTTCCACCTTAGGTATCTTCTGTCTTGGACTAGTGCTGGAAGTCCACACTTCCTGGTATCTGATCGCGCTGGATTTTTTCAGATTGGCGTGTACACGTACAGGTGATGCTGCAGAGGATGCAATAGGTGTGCCTGGGGTTACTGGTGAGCTTGGGTTAGATGATGCCTTTTTGGTTTCTGAGGTTTCAGTCTGGTTCTCTTTACATTCACTGGTCATGGCAGCTGATACATCCACTACTGTGTATGGCTTGCACACTGGCTGTTCCATGTTCACCACTCTGTAAGGTTTAGCTTGCTCCTCCACAGGCACCAAATTAATAGTCACGGCTTGACCAGCAACATCTGAAGAACTTTTATTCTCCTGCGTATCAGTCTGCACAGCAATTTTGCCATCTTTCTCCTCCAGGCGAAGTGCAAGGACTGCCTTGTGAGTTTCCTGACTTTTCAGAGCATTTCTGGGTGCTTTTGGCACGTCCTTCACTTGTTGATTGTCACAAAGACTTTCATATTCTGGTTCAATCACTTTGAGGTCCTGAGGAGTGCTAGGAGATAACCCTCCATTACAGAGCTTCTGGGAAGAACTGCTGGTTGTCCCAGAACGAGACTCTTCTGTCAAAGAAGAATCAGGAGATGTAGAATCAGAAGATACCATGCTCTGCATGCTCTCTTGCCCATAAAGAATCACAGTCTCTTCCCCGTAACCATTTAAAATTTCATCATAACTGTCGTCATAATCCACGGCACAGATCCGCTGCAGAGACTTGTTCCGAAGGGGCACAGTATTCCATTTTTTGTCAACACAGAACGGAACAGGAGACAGGGTGTTAGCTCTGAAATTAGCAAAGCGAGGCTGGCCCCTCATGCGGATTTCCATTGCTAACAACTCTTCATCACTTTCATCCCAGCTCTCGTGCTCTTCCTGCATGCTGCCAAAAAACGTGTCATCCTCACTCTCATCTCCACTCGACAACTCTGGATAACAGAAACGTCCACCTTCATTACTTATGACTTCAGTGCTTCCACTCAGAATAACGTGCTTACTCTGTGAGTCCTTCATTCCACCCACCATGCAGCTTGGAGGGATCTTCCTTTCTAAAGATTTTTTGTAACAATTATTTATCCTTCCCAAGAAGGTTTCTCTCGCGTTTGTTTCATTTCCAGTGAGCTGAGGTGTGGTATCCAAACCCGCAATCTCCTTCAGAACTTCTGTCAGCCCATTATTATTGTTATTGGGTACCTTCCCCACGCCCTCGCTGCTGCCATACGGCCTGGGAACATGGCTGTAACCTTCGATCTCCTCCTCATTGTTATTGTTCAGTGGTTTCTTGCTCAGCACCGCCTTGTTGCGGTTCCACCCCCCGGGCAGGGCTTTGTTCTCGCACTGCTCCAGCGTGGCCAGCTCCCCGCAGAGCCCCTCTGCCACCATCATGGTGGGTTTCACTGCTATCGTCGGCTTCTTGGCCACAGGCGGGCGGAAGCTGCCGCTGCCCCTCCCCGGGCGCTGGCCGCTGCTCTGGCTCGCATTGGCTTTCAGGTTGGCATGGGAGAGCGGCTTCTTCTCTGACACCGGGGGTAACTGGTGCAAGCTCTTGGGCTTGAAGCAGTTCTTACATTCACCGGGTTTCCAGACGTGCTCAGTGAAAGTGTTGCAAGCAGACATTTTCCCAGAGCCCTGTGCCTGAAGCCCTGCTGCTCAGTGCATGGCAGGAGTCTCCTCCATGGGCTCTGCTCCGCTCACCCGGCACCGACACTTCCCGGAGCAGTGATCATGCTGCAAGAACACCAAACACAGAGAGGATGAGAATGGGGGAAAATCTGCCTGATCATTACATTTTTCATGCTAGGGATAATGTAGAAGGGGCAAGTAGCCTTTTGCTGACATCTTCATTTACAAAACTATATAACTGAAATGCAAAACCAAATTGCAACTATCATTCTTCTCATACATAAAGAATTTAAACTTTGCCAGTTAAGTCCTATGTTACCTAAAGCAGAGGGAGGGAAAAATGGCAATGACTGAGAATTTAGAGTAATTCTCTTGACTAGTTCAGGACCACTGACCTTTAATTTTGTCCAATAAAACAAATGCAGGAAGAGGATATAAACCCAAAGATTACTACACATTATGCTTTCACCATAACTACTCATGAGAGAGAAGAGTGAGAGTCTGTTTACTCTCCTAAATGCAATTGAGATAATTTGTTCTAGCTTTGAATGTGAACAAGCTCAGCTTAAGTGAGTAAATGTGTTCAAGCAACCCCAAACTCTGCCATTTTAGCACTTTTTTCATCAGAGTCAAGTGATAACTGGAGAGGTATTTTGGCTGAACAGATAGGCTGTTCTGATGTCCTGCAAAAGTCAGATAACAATACAGTGGAAATCTTTCTAGAAAGTCAGTGTTTTTTCTCCTTTTGCTTACCACAATGGCAATAAACCATTCTGATATCCTCAAAACAAAGCTAAGGATTTTGAGTCCCTGATTTGTTTCACATGTAGCTTTTCTACCTAACCCCTCCAGAAATAACAACTGAAGAAGAACTGAAAATCTCTTTCAAAGTGAATCTTTTTATTTCCTGAAACAATCAGCCTTAAGTAAAAATCAAACACGAATCTGCTGTGCTTTATAGTCATCAGAATATCCAGGATTTGAGAGTTTCATGAATTAATGCCCGAAGATTTTAAGCCTCCTGAGCCAAATCCGCAAGTCTGTTCTCTTCGTCACTGTTGCATAACTCAAATTATCGGAGACATTTCACTGAGGGGAAAGGATCTCTGTGTCCACTGCTACTTCTGTAAGCACAGGCACTGGGAATCAATAATGCTCTATCCTTACAGGCCTTGTGGTGCAGATATCCCTGCTGCTGCCCCAGGTACACCCAGAGGGCAGGGCCACTCCCCTGCAGGTCCAGCTGCAGCCCCCACAGAGCTGGGCTGGGAGCAGCACCAGGGAGGCTGTGCTGGAACTCTCAGGCACCACTGCCTTTCATCAGCGTGGCAAACACAGGATCATGAGGAGAGCTGACACCAGGAGGGGTTTGTCAGTCTCCTCACGTCCTGCTCTGTGTTTTGGCAAGGGCTGGCCTGTGCTGGCAAAGCAACAGAGCCATCCTGATCCAACAGCAGATGGGGCTGAAGCCTAACTCTATTAGTGCCTGCAGACACAGCCGTGCTACCAGGGCTATCACATTTCATATGCTGACTAAATATGTTTCCAGACAAAGCTTTTTGCCAAAAAGCCACTGCCAAAAGCTTTCTCTGTATGACCTAAGAGATAGAAACTCTGCCAGACTGAGATCTGCCCAAACTTTCAGACTTTATCTTACATATACAGAGTAAAATGCCTTTGTATGTTCCTTGATCTCTCTCAAGTTTTGTTGCTTCAACACTTTGCAAGGCCATATATTGTAAGCAGAAAAATTACATTAAGAAATAGTTCTCCTAGAACCAGAGAGAGAGCATGTACAAGAATTTTATACTCTGGTTAGCTCCCTGTTTCCTGTTTTCATGTGTTTAACAAGCAGAAGGAGTAAAGTTACACTAATGGGAATCTAAACGAAATGCTTTCTTGAAAAATATATTTCTCCATCACATAAAAGCTTTGAACAACCAATTTAAACAAAAGGTTAGTGCTTGTGTGTGGGTTTTAAAATTTACCCGTGTGATTCTGAAATTGCATAAGCTACACTTGCTCTAGAATGCCATCAGAAGGCAGGCAGCTTTAGGGTGCTCCAGGCATTTCCTGCCAGGAACAGGGGGGCACTGAGGAAGCTCTGCAGTGCCCACTTGCCTGGGGCTACATCCTGACGTGATGACACCACTGCCTGTGTCACACCTGTCACTCTCCTTTGCCCTGACACTGATGCTGGCACTTCCTCTAAGCCTGAGAAGGGTTACACTCAACCTGAGAATGGGAACTACAGGAAACTCAGCAGAACCACAGAGAGAGTAACAACTCTAGAGACAGTAACAACTCTAGAGACAGTAACAACTCCAGCCCTGTCCTTCATCCCAAACCCCCACCTGTGTGCCAGCAGTGCTGCCTGCAGCAGTTCCCCTCAGCAATCACACACCTGGGGATTGTGGAAATGCAGCTGTGGAACCTGCACACAGTATATACAAGCCATGTGTACATGTCCCAGTTCTTTTGGTCTCCAACAGCCAATAGAAGTGGTTTGAACCCAGCCCTGACCCCAGGATGATTTGTGACAGTCTGGAACAGAAGAGCCACTGACTCCCTGGTCTGTGAACCCCAGCTGGGTTTGCAACTGGCTCGGGCACAGCAGGACGAGCAGTTCCTGTCACAGGCCCTGATACTGCCTGCAGCTGCACCACAGAGGAAACAGCCACCTTCCAACCAGAGGAAATGGATCTTAAGAAAACAACCAAAACAATTCCAACACTGTGCTACTTTTGTACTTTGAAATCAGAAGCACTCCTACGCTATTTCAAATTAAATCCACAGTGACCTTTATATGCTGAAGCAAGCATTTGCATTCTAAAAAAAAAGTCAGTTTCTTCCTTGCAGGACAACTAAAAGCAATCATTCTGCTGCTTTCCTCTCCTTTAAAAAGAATTCCTTTTTCAACTACAGATTCTCTATCATGTGTGGTAATTATGGTGAGAGTAATTAGGAGTGATAAGAGAAATGAAATCTTTCAGTAGGCTGCTGCTTCCATGGCTGTCACCAGCTGCAGCTTGGCAGGGGGCAGCAGAGGCCATCGAAGGGACTGAAAATGCACACAAAGACAAGGAAAAAATCACCCTGACATTGCTGGATTCCTACACTACCTCCAAAACAAAGCAGGGCAATGAGAGATCCAGGCAGTCATGCCTCAGATCTCTCCAGCTGCAGGTGACCTGCTGTCTTTTCTTCCCTACCTTCCCTGCTTCCACTGACACTCCATGTGCCTGCTAAGGAACAGGAATGTGCACCCTGCAGAGCTCTGGCTCTTCTGAAATGAGTAGTTCAGATGTCAAAACTTATCTGAAGACGCTCAATCCATGCAAAACCAAGGCAATGACAAGATGTTACTTACAAAACAGCATCAGCTTTGTAAAGAAAGTATTAATAGCAAATACGTGACATCAACAGTCTGCATTTCATCCCTGTATCTCAAAGCCTTTTATGTAAGTTGGTAAACAGAACTATTCACAATTTATAGAGGGAACCACTGCAGTGCAGTGACGTTAAGGAACTAAAATTCACCCAGTGAGTCAGTATCAGGAGCAACCACAGACAGACAACTTCTGCTCCCAACAGCAGATCGTGACACTTCATTCACTGAATGGTTGAGTCAGCACAGATTATTTATCAACCTTAAAGGCCAAATCATTCTTTGGGTATGTGAGACTAATGCCCCTCATTCCAGCAGGTACACAGCTGTGCACAGGAGGGCTCAGCCTCGCCCTGTTGAGTTGGTATCAAGCAGTCAGGAAGGAAAAAGCATATTTCAGTTTTCAGGTCAGAGGGAGAAGATGACAGATTTGGAGTTGCAGTGCAAAGATGAAGCAGGGATCAGCTGAGATACCCTCGTGTCAGGAAGCTTGCAGAGCAATGCAGAAATGTCTCTGTGGAGCTTTTATTTGTTGACATCATCTTTGCTGAGTGCATGAAGATAGTAATAAACATGCATTTCAGGCATTTTGCCTTTGTTCTAGGTAATTTCAGGCTGGCAGGTCTCCTTTGGATGCATGCTGGCTGAATCACAATGAAGGCCTTCTCCAGTAATACTTTATACTAAAATAATCCAATTAAAAAGAACTTAATTGGTGTGCAACATTCCCTACAATTTCAACATTTTAAAAATGAATAGTCTCTGTAAGTACCAGATGGTGACACGCACTAATTAATCAGGCCTGCTCAATGAAGAGCATATGAAAATGAATGCACCTATTAGACATGTGCTTGCAATGCTGGGTGCTGCAGAAATCTCCCCCCACTGAAAGGCTCCTGAGCTGGGACCAGCACCCTCTGGTCTCCTCTGGGATCACCATATCTTGGCACAGGGTTCCTTTGGTTTGTCCTCCTCCAGGGAAAACCCATGTACCTTTAGTGCTGCTGGCCCTGACAATGGGGCTGCAATTTTTATGCTGCAGAATAAACTGCATTGATCAGCCTTCTTGGGCACCAGTCCAGTCAGGGCTGCTGCACAACCACAAACCTCTCCCCACTGCCAGGCCTGTCCTCAGACTGAAAAAATCAGCAGTGGGAATTCAACCTGGGCTTCCTATATGGGAGTGCCCAAAGGCCACAAAACCACCACGGCTTTGTGGTTTGTCTGAACCACTTAGAGGCATCTGGACAGTCACTGATCATCATAAACAACAGTGCAAGTCTCACACAGCAGGAAAAAGGGATGGCTATTCTCTGCCAGGATTTGATTTCTGTTTCTTTTAAATTTTAATGCAATCATAAACGTTTGAAGAGACTGTTTTAGAACCAACCCTCGTGCAGGTCCTGCCTGGGGGGCAGTGGCTGTGGGAATGCTCCCAGGGAGTGTCCAGCACTCCCCTCGCTCAGCCTGGGCCAGGAAAAGCCAAGGAACTAAAGAATGCAAGAAGCACTATGGGCTGGCACTACTTCTTCCCAAAGTGAAGGATATTTGCTAAATATCAGCTCACTGCAGTACCAAGCCAGAGCTCTGACTCTGGCAGAGAGCA